TTACAGTCCAGCCCCTCAGAAGTCCCAGCTGCAGAAGTTCTCTGCTCTTATGGGGCCAATCAACTCTGCAAGCTATCTGGACCAAGTGGGTCTCTGTGCTCTTGCAGATAGGCACACTCCTTGCTTTCTCCTTTCCCACTCCTCCTCGGGCTTGAGAGGATTTTAATGCAGATCAGATAGTGCCCTTTCACAAACCAGCCCTCCGGGCCGCTGTGTGATGGACCGCTCTGTCACATGCTTCCTTCTGGGAACGCTCAGGAAGAGTTCTCTCAAGACTTGGGCCTGTTTATTCACGATCGCTACCAAGGAAAGGCACTGCCTGCCCCCTCCGCCGGGGCCCATTTCTCAACGGGTGCCATCTGATTTCCCTCTTGGCCGGTTTCTGGGCAGACTCACCTACATCAAACTCAAAGCCGTTCTTGCTGAAGGTGTGGCAGCAGCCGCCCGCCTTTCCATGCTGCTCCAGAACCACCACTCGCTTCCCAGCTTTGGAGAGGAGCACGGCTGCGGCCAGCCCCCCGATGCCACTTCCGATCACAACAGCATCCAGGTTCTCAGGGACCTTGGCAGCCGAGAAAGCTGAAGAAGAAGGAGAAAGTTGTCATCAACACGTGGCTACCTCCAACAACTGGGTCAGTAACTCTCCTGCTGTCTTCCCCTGCTCATTCCTAGGACCAGACCCAAATTGGGCCATTGTTTACCTTCTAAAGGATTTGTGTGTTAGATGCGGGCCCATTAGCATTCCCTGGCTGCTAAACAAATAGTACAGGAACTGCTGTTCTTTCCAAACCTGCTGGAACTGGGAAGTGCAAGGCGGGTCACAAGGAAGCTGCTTCTCAGGATGGAGGCCCGGGTCCGACACTCTCCAGTTTTGGGGAGGGGCATTCTTGTAACAGAGGTGTGAGACTCTTGGCAAAAGAGCAAAGAGCTGGTTTCCATATTCACTGTGTAAAGTGCAAGACTGTAAGATAGTTTTGGGATGGTCCTGGCTAAGCTGGCAAGATCAAACCGATTATAAAAGGTGGGGCACTATCGTGTATCCTGGCAGCAGATTACCTTCCCGAGAGTGGGGCTACTAAAGAAGCTCAGGTTCATCACCCGCCAGTAGGGTCATTACAAATTGCCCCTGGAAAAACCAAGGGTGACACCAGGCTTTCACAGCCAGGCTCAGGATCAACATTTCTCCTGCTTCACCAGTTCAGTTTCACAGATAGAATCAGAGCTAGAAGAGCATCCAGATCATCCTCGGTCCTTGCCAAAGGGCTTATCATCTAAATACACTCTCCAGTCAAGCTGTAAACATCCCATACAATAGGATTGTCCGATTGGTCCAATAAAATTGGTCCCCCACCTTGTCTCACATTTCCCCTGGACAGACTCTTTCCCGGAGGACCAGATCTCTCTCTTCTCAGCTTTACCTTTATACTCCTACCACCTTCATACCACACAGTAAACTATTTCTCCAGCTCCTTGGTATTTATACCTTTCATCTACACAAATAACCAGTGGCAGAAGTAGGCTGTTATCTTCCATGTGGAGCAGCCTGCTGAGGGAGACCTGATACACTTTGTCAGCGGGTTACACAGCAGGGGAATGTTGAGTATTAGGATTTCCTGGCTCTGGGAGCAGTGTGCTCTAGTAGTTGGTTAGTGCACAACCAAGCACATAGCTTGGCACAGTCCTTCTGAAAGGCAGCGTGGCAAAGTGGGGGAGACTTGGGTCTGTTATATTAGAGATGAGGGTTCTATCGCAGTTCTGTCTGACGTGAGGTTGCATAACCTCTGTTATCTTATCTGTAAGATGGATCAATGATAGTTACTGCCCCTAAAGTAGTGGTCTGAGGTCTTGGTTAGGAAGAAATATTAACAGCAGCCCAGGGGAAGAGAACTCATGGTGTCTTGGGTTGCAGCTCAGGGCGCTTCTCCTAGGAAATCTCCTAGGCTATGGGGTATTTTGCAATGGAATCTGACTCCCTTGACATTTTTTTTGGATGTGGGTACATGACTAAGTGCCAAATGCCACACGTGATGCTTGGAAGATCTGATGAAAGATAACAGACAAGCTTGGGGGCAGGGTCTCTTCCTTCCCCATGATGTGGAGAGAGCAGTACAATTTCCAGAGGTGAAAATAGACACTGTTAATGTTCATGCAAGATTCTGTTCCTAGTTCTGGTGCATTCCCCCCAGAGATGGAACATGCCCCTTAGTGCTTTAAGAAAAGAAGCTGTCTCAGAGGCAAAAGTGGAAGTGGGTAGGTGGGTAGGGAGAACCAAGGAGCAGACTTATAGCCTACCCTCCACAAACAGAACGCTTCGTTCCAGACTTTGGAACATGAGTGAAACATATGCGGATGATTGAACTGCACACCAGCCCAGTGTTTTTGCATTACCTAACAGGGTGTGGGCATTACCTGGGGGCAATGAGGGTCGGTTATACAAACCACCGCATGGAATCATAGAGGTTTATCTCTGAGTCACAGCTCTTTGACTGTATAGAGAAAGGGGAGGGAATGCACTTAACTTGAGGAATAGCAGCCTTGATTTCAGGCAAATTACCCAATCAAGGGATGAATTAGGCCAGCAGAAAGGGGTAGGGTGCTTTCACCACAGGGAGAGAAAAGGCTGGAGGGTGCATACAAGTACTCCTGGCTATTGGGGAGGGGGGCATGGGCACTGGCAGGTGTTGGTGGGTATGGGTATATGGCACTGACTTTCAGATATTGATGGATGTGGAGGGGTGCAAGTGGGCAGGCACTAGTGAGTATAGGGAGGAAGCGTGTGTGTGTGTGTGGACAAAGGTGACAGGGAGGTGGAGAAGGAGATCTGGAAATCGGCTAATGAGAGAACAGCTGTGCAGAAAGAAAGAAAGAAAGAAAGAAAGCAGCTCCCAGTTCCAATCTTTCTTGGCTTGCCTCTGCCCAGACAACCTGCCGGGGTAAGGGGCCGTTTTCCCTCTATGCACTCCCCATCACGCCCACCCCCCTTCCAGCTGTGGCTGGAGCAGGTGCTGCCAGCAAAAGCACTTTCAGGTACCTTGTTTGATAACCTTTTTCCGAACATCCTTGTCAGTCACCAGGGGGGCAGGTGGCCTCCTGCAGTCAGCATAGAAAGGGTTGGGGGAGCTGCTGCCCCTGAGGAGCCTCCTGAGCACTGCGAGAAGCAGGAGGGCGAGCAGGACGCAGTACAGCCACATAACTGCTGTGATTTCTCTCCGAGGAATGCCCCTGAAAGCTGGGCAGCCCTTTGAAAGGGCACCTGCCCCTCCTTCCAGGGGGAAGTCCTCCGCTCTCATTCAGAAACTTCCCCTTAAAGGCACAGTCAAGAACTGAGTCTGTGCCTGAACCCCAAAGAGATTTGAACACCTATTGAGTCTCCCTCTCTTAGGGTTAATTTTTAGGGCTTGTTTACATGAGGAAACTGACCAGCACAGTGATGCCAGCATAATATTACTTCAGCTATACCAGTGTAATTCTCCATGTGGCTGGTCTATCAGTGTAATTATACCAGTGTAGCTTGGCCAGTAAAACTCCTCATGTGTATGTGGTTTTGGGGCATTAAGAGTGCCTTTTTTTAGTTTAGTTTAAGCCGCTTCCAAAGAGTCATGCGCTAAAGGGAATCCACATCAAGAATGTCTGCTCGGTTCTCCCCCACTTTTGCGGGAGGGTTTCTCGGCGGTCTGAGGCTGTGTACGGTGACGTCTTGGACGTCGGTTCAAAGTAGGGTCTCCAACGGTCCCCCTATCTGGGGAAAAAAATTTGGGATTAGGTCCTGCTCTGAGCAGGGGGTGGGACCAGGTGACCTCCTGAGGTCCCTTCCAACCCTGATCTTCTGTGATTCTATTACAGCAAGAGCCGGAGTTGCTGAGTGCTGCAAGTTAAGGAAGTATGGGCTGGATGAATGCACTATAAGGTGGGTAGAAAGCTGGCTAGATTGTCGGGCTCAACGGGTAGTGATCAATGGCTCCATGTCTAGTTGGCAGCCGGTATCCAGTGGAGTGCCCCAAGGGTCGGTCCTGGGGCCGGTTTTGTTCAATATCTTCATAAATGATCTGGAGGATGGTGTGGATTGCACTCTCAGCAAATTTGCGGATGATACTAAACTGGGAGGAGTGGTAGATACGCTGGAGGGGAGGGATAGGATACAGAAGGACCTAGACAAATTGGAGGATTGGGCCAAAAGAAATCTGATGAGGTTCAATAAGGATAAGTGCAGGGTCCTGCACTTAGGACGGAAGAACCCAATGCACAGCTACAGACTAGGGACCGAATGTCTAGGTAGCAGTTCTGCGGAAAAGGACCTAGGGGTGACAGTGGACGAGAAGCTGGATATGAGTCAGCAGTGTGCCCTTGTTGCCAAGAAGGCCAATGGCATTTTGGGATGTATAAGTAGGGGCATAGCGAGCAGATCGAGGGACGTGATCGTTCCCCTCTATTCGACATTGGTGAGGCCTCATCTGGAGTACTGTGTCCAGTTTTGGGCCCCACACTACAAGAAGGATGTGGATAAATTGGAGAGAGTCCAGCGAAGGGCAACACAAATGATTAGGGGTCTGGAACACATGAGTTATGAGGAGAGGCTGAGGGAGCTGGGATTGTTTAGCCTGCAGAAGAGAAGAATGAGGGGGGATTTGATAGCTGCTTTCAACTACCTGAAAGGGGGTTCCAAAGAGGATGGAGCTCGGCTGTTCTCAATGGTATCAGATGACAGAACGAGGAGTAATGGTCTCAAGTTGCAGTGGGGGAGGTTTAGATTGGATATTAGGAAAAACTTTTTCACTAAGAGGGTGGTGAAACACTGGAATGCGTTACCTAGGGAGGTGGTGGAATCTCCTTCCTTAGAGGTTTTTAAGGTCAGGCTTGACAAAGCCCTGGCTGGGATGATTTAACTGGGAATTGGTCCTGCTTCGAGCAGGGGGTTGGACTAGATGACCTTCTGGGGTCCCTTCCAACCCTGATATTCTATGATTCTATGATTAAATATCCCTGAGGAACGTAGGCGAGTTATGATTAATGGTGATAACAGTCCGGGTAATGACAGCCGCGGGAGGAGGGCTGGGGCAGGGTGATCAGAAAACAATACAGTGTCGTCGGAAGCAAGGCGGTGCGGCTCCTTGCTCTCAGAAGCCCTTTCTCCCAAGCGTTAATGGGGCATCGGAGTTAAATGGATTGTAACTGGTGAAAGGCCCCCCCCCCCAACCCCAACGGGCCCCGGCAGCCCCCTGGGCGTGTCAGTGGGGCCAGGGCACTGGGCTGGCCCCCAGTATTCGATGGCTGGGGGTGGCCGGGAGGCGGGCCCCTGGCTGGGGCTCAGGTCCCTTTAAGAGCTTCCCTGGACGGACGCGTCGCCTCTTCGATTGTCCCTCCTCCGACGCCGTAGATTTTGCCGCGCGGGGGGCCTCTGGGAACTGTAGTCGGGGAGGGGAGGCGGCAGCCGCGCCCACTGGGCTCCGCGGTGCCTTCTGGGAGAGCGAGGCTCCTGGAACCACAACTCCCGGCGTGCAGCGCGGCGTGCGCGCCGGCGCTTGGCGGTGGAAGGAGCCGAGGTGGGGGAGAAAGTGAGGTGGGGGAGCGTCTGAGGCTGGGGCTGCGAGGAGTGGCGAGGGCGGGGCTAATCAGACGGGCGGGGGAGGGGTGACTGAGGGGTTCAAAGGTCGCGGGGAGCGGGGGGCTATAAAGGGGGAGTGGCCGGGGGGCTGCAAAGGGCCAAGGGGAGCAGAAGCCTGCGAAGGGGGGAGGGGTTGGGGAAAGGGGGGTCAGGGGGCTGTAAAGGGGGGGGAAGCAGAAGCCTGCATGGGGGGAGGGGTTGGGGAAAGGGGGGTCAGGGGGCTGTAAAGGGGGGGGGGGAAGCAGAAGCCTGCATGGGGGGAGGGGTTGGGGAAAGGGGTCTGGAAAGGGGTCAGGGGAAGCAGAAACTTTCATGGGGGGTTGGGGGAAAGGGGGGCTGTAAAGGGGGAGTCAGGGGGCTGCAAAGGGGGAAGGGGTTACGGGAAGCAGAAGGCTGCATGGGGGGAGGGGTTGGGGGAAAGGGGGGCTGTAAAGGGGGGGTCAGGGGGCTGTAAAGGGGTCAGGGGAAGCAGAAGCCTGCATGGGGGGGTGGGGGAAAGGGGGGGTCAGGGGGTGTAAAGGGGGGGAAGGGGTCAGGGGAAGCAGAAGCCTGCATGGGGGGCGGGGTTGGGGGAAAGGGGGGCTGTAAAGCGGGGGGCCAGGGGGCTGGGGAGGAGTTCTAAGGTCAGGGGAGCATGTGGGGAGAAGAGGCCAGGTTGCCAGGGGGGCCATGGGGCAGGGCATATGGCTGGGGGGAATGGGATGCGGGGAAGGGGAGAACAGTGCTGGGACTTGAGGGATGAAGGGTGGGAAGGGCCCAGGGCAGGAGCTGACCGGGGAATGGGTGTCTTCCACCTTCCCTGGAAGTAGCTGGCTCCAGCCACTTGCAGGGATGGGCCCTGGGCTGGAAATTCCTTTTCTCCCTGGTTGGAACCCCTCAGACGGCTAGGCAGGGCCAGGGATGAGGGTGAGCTTGGCCATGCGCCTCACTTACACACCGCTCTGAAGTAAGGATGTCTGACCAGGAACCGGGAGGTGTGATTCTCAGCTCAGGTAGACCTACACACGCTAGCTGTGCTCAAGCTAGCATGCTAAAAACAGCGGCGGGGCTGCGATGTTTCAGGCTGATTGCCTGAACACAATCCTGGCAGAGGTCTAGTTGTGGATGGATGGTGGATGACTAGCCTGGCACGCCTTTACTTTTAGCATGCCAGCTCAAGCACAGCTAGTGTGTGTACCTCTGCCTGAGCTGGGAGTCGCACCTGCCAGCTGAAGTGTAGACATGCTTTGTCCTGGCTGCAGGGACTGATGCTTTATTTGCCTTATAAAAGGAGTACTGGCAGCAACCCTTGTAATTAGGTTGCCTAATGCTTCCCATTGTAAAACAAATTCTTGCAGCCTTTATCTGAAGGGCTCTCACTCTCCCTGGTTTGCAGCCGGACTTTGAAATTTGTCCTGGGGATAGTACTGGGGTCGAGGAGGTACCTTTGTTGTTCCAGTACAAATGCATTCTTTTAACTGAAAATTACTATTTCCCATTTGTGTTTTGAGCTTGCTTTTGCACGATGGCTCTGTTGTTGCATATGCACTACCCCAGAATCTGTGTTTGATACATAGCTCCAGTTCTGGATGGGATTTCCACCTGCTGCTTTTCCTCCATCAAAAATATTCTGACCTAGGTCGTGTGTATTGCACTCGGAACCAGATACCATGCGCTCTAGACTCACTTCTTCCACAGACTGATGCTAACAATTTTATACCTTTCACCTCCCTTATTATTCAGCGTGGCCTCATACGGGACCAAGAGTCTGCAGAAACTTGAAATAAAACCTAGCTCTGTTAATATGGCAGCTCCAAATCCCATTCAGTCAGCGGCACTGCCTCAGAAAGAAAGAACACCTGCCATATTTTTGTCCTTGACTGTGTTGTCTGTAAAATTAGGTGACTTGTGAATAGGTAGTCCATTACTTGAGTGTGTTATCCTGGATCCTCCTCTAACATCTGGTTCACATAGGGTAGGAACTTTGTCCGGCTACCAGCCAAAGTAGTTAGTGCTTAGCTCAAGAAGTAAAGCTCTGTGTTGCAATGCTGAAGTTTAAGGGGGGAGGAAGAAGTTGTTACATGTGCACATAATAGAATTTTTTATCTTGCTCCTTTCTAATCCCTCCCCAGTGAATTATATACAAAAACTACATTAAACTGAGGGTTTGTAGCCACTGAAAGCCACAAATTAGCGCCCCTGTATCAATGGCTCCAGTGCCCTAGGCAGAACTGGCTGGATGCAGGTCTGCCACTGCCATGCTTCCTCCAGCCCCCAGTGTGCCCCCAATGTTTTGTATGGTCCTTCCTGGAATTCCCCCTGTGTTGGGGGCAGTTTTGTGAATTGGAATATAGATCATGGGCCCAGGAAGCTGGTTTAAGTCACAGTTTCCCAAACCTTTTAAAGTGAGAAAAAGCGAGACATCCTTTTTTCGGTATAAGCTGCAGCTCCACTGAACCCTTTGCAGCATAGACTAGCTCTTACCTAAGTGATTTTTTAACAGTTATTTGCTAAGTGACAACATTCATGTTTTCTCTAACAAAACATCTTGAGGCAGCCCTGAAGCTAGTTGCCAAGATGCGTGACCATGTTCTTCAGCACACTGCTTTTCAAACCTAGGTTTTATTTTTGAGAGGGTGACATGTAGCTCCCATTCACTGCTGACTTGGGCAAAGTATTTGGTCTTGAAGACTGCTACAAAAGAGAACCCTGTCTCACAGTGGCAGGGTATTGCAAAGGGTAAGAGCATATCCATTGCTTTGGAACTCAGTGACGCCCAGTAAAATTCTGGAAGTAATTTTATGAATGAGTGGGACAATTCACACCTCAGAGCTATTTACACTCTCTGCAAGCTCAGGCATGTATTACGACATTATTTACACTTAGGTCAGGTTATGAAGGTTTTTTTTTTTTTTGGCAACTATAACAGTATTTTAAAAAAATGAAAGCTGAGACTCTGAAGAACAAATGAGAGGTCTGTTAGCAGACCCTGGCTAGTCCTTTGCACTTTATGCACACCCCACGCTTTGGGAAACACAAGTTTAAACAGACTTTTGTTTATTGTAACATTAGAAAGTTATTTGTGGTTTGAACTTTTCCTTAAAGAGTCTGTAGCTTTTATTCTTTCACTAAACACACAAATAGAAAAAACAGCAGTTAAAACAATTGAAACTTTGAAAATTAGGTGAAATTTTCATGTTAACAATTTTTTTTATTTCCTTCCCGTTTGATTGTATCTGCCAGAACACCAAACTCCATGCTTGCACTGCGTCAGTATTATACATGCATTACAGGAACTTGGGCCACTTTAGGAAGGGACTGGTTGGTTGTTCCCTGTTGACTTTGATTTCATTGTTTCATTAGGGCATGAACAGATGCACCGCAGATACCCGCCAGTCTGAAGAGCAAGGTATCTTCCTTCCTCCAGCTGTCAAATCCGTACCTGTGCGTATCTCAGATAATTTCATAATTTTCGGCAGCCTGAGACTAAACTCTAGCATTAGACACGTCTCGCTCTATTATGTGCAGAGACCTGCATGATGGGCAACATTAGGCATTAATTGTAATTGCATAAAGAGTTGGGAATATAAAGTCCCTTTGTGTGTGTGCATTCCATCGGGGTTTTCAGGGTAAAGCTGTACCCATGTGTGCATTTACAAAGTGGTATGGACTGTATTCTGCGTATACTGAAAGTTCTAGAAAAAGGCATGGTTGCAATGTATTATAGCTGCAGGTAAAACCCCAGCAGCGCTATCCTACTATTGCTCATTGTGACATGATGCTGGTGCACACGGTGCCGGTGTTGGGCCTGGGACTTGCAGTTGTCAGAAAGCACAAGCCTCTTGCGTACGTGCTTGAATGTGATACCAGAAAGCAGGCTAGCTTAGGCCTGCCTGCCCTTCTATATCTGTTTTTTTGGAGGCCTAAACAAGGGCCTCCCCAGTTTTTCAAACAGCTCTTTTCATGGGAGAAGAGGGGGGTAGATCCAAACTCTCCAAGCTGCTTCCCTGTTCCTTTACCAGCTTGTCTCAGGTGGGCTAACCCATTTCCTTCAGCAGTGACACCATTCCTCTACAAACCCTTCTTATGATGAGGGGCAGACTATTCCTCCCTGACTGGCTACGCCATTCCTTGTGCAGCTTGTCTCATGGCAGGGGAAAGGGTGAACTCAAGCAGCTCCAGCATGGGAATGCTGGGGAAACCTGTGATGGGTGAGCAGGGTGGTGGCTGTGGGCTCTTTATTGGGGGAACAATCCAGGAAGGTATCACAATGTGTTAGCCATAGAGAACCTTCAAAAGGTTCCCTCATTTCCCTGGACACCACTCTGCACACAGTGTGTCTCCAGGCTTTGGATGTCTTGTGTGGTGTTGTGGCGTAACAACAATAGTGCATGCTGGGATATTTCCCAAAGTGAGAACGGGTCATTATGGCTTCAGGGAGACCGCAGGTATGGGGAGGGAAATAGGTCTTTAAGATCCCTTATGTGCTGAAGGCTCCTCTTCTCTGCTGCTGTTTGGGGGCACTCAGCAAATCGGGCTAGAAAAAAATCCTTTAAAAACAACAGGAGGTGTAAAGTGCATTGCTCCTCCTGACTGTTCGCTCTCTGCGTAGATCTCGGTGCTGAAGCAGAATGGGCTCCTGCAGGCTCTGGCAGAGGGAGCCAGTGGGCGCACAGAAGCTGGTAAGCTGTATTTGAATGTTTCTATTTAATAGCCTGTTGCTTTCCAATTCTGGAGGGGACTGACGTGCTCCAACCAGCACAGCACTGCTCTTTCTGTCTGCTGAGCAAATCCTGTCTGTTCTGCTGGTGGGCTTGGCCAGAATCTCACTATAATCGTCCCATTCAGATTGTCGAGATCCTGATACTCTTGGCCAAGTATTTCTCCTCATTGCCTCTAGACCGTCCAGGAAAATTCACGGCATTCCTCCAAGGCTTTGGTCAGGCGTTCTGTCCTGTCTGTCTGCTCTGAGATTCTGTCTCCAACATGTGGGTCCGCTGTTGCCCTGTATCGCCAAAGCAACATTCAGTTTTTCTGTCTATTAACTAAGCACGTGTCTCAGAGCCATGACTCCGAACCATTCTGCCGGGGTGCTGTGCTGGTGGCATTTTTAACTCTGGAATCTCAATCAAGTGAATGGGGTTGTGTTCTCATTTTTCTTCCCCCGCAGTTCAGGCCTCTTCCTGTTCATGGAAGAGATGTCGTACTCTGAACTTCCCTTCTGCAGTGTCCAGGGTGGGGTGGGGGAAGGCAGGCTGCTGATTGAGACATGGAAAGGCTCTGCGGAATTCCCCTCTGATTTCCTGTACTATCCTTGGGCCTGATCGTGTCTGTTAGGCACTGGCCCATGTTGGGACAGGGTCAGAACTGCATTCCCCTTAGGATGATGCAGTGGAGGCTGGCCAGAAGAACTGCCTGGTAGGGCCATGACCCTTCCTTCCATGCCCCCTTTGGGGTGGCTTGGACTATTGTACCTGGCCATTTTGCAGGTGTGCAGTGGAGAGAGGGACTTACCCGCAGCACCCCCGAAAGAGCTAATCACAATCTCCCCCTACACTTGCTGATATTCTCTCCTCTCTGTGGGACTGGGTGAGTTTGCTGCAGGCCTCTGGGCAGGAGCAGGTAATCAAGGCAGGAGCTGTCAAGGAATCTGCTGTTGTTCAGCTTTATATCAGAGGACCCCAACTTGGTCTGTGATAAAACGGAAAATTAAATGAGACCCCAAAGGCGGGCGAGCGTAAGGTCACAGGAACCTTTGCACTTTTTGTCTGCTGGCTGATGGCGAAGCAAAGCAAACAGCTGGCCTGAGAGTTCCAGCTGTAGCTGACACCCTTCGTGACTCTCTTTTGCCAGATCCTAGTGCAGAGGTGCTGCGAGCCCAGGAAGAATGGGAGGCCGTGGAAAATCTCCAGTCAGGTACAGATAACTGCAATGGAGCTTACCTGGTATCCTGGACAGTTGGTACCAATTAAATCTCGTAGGGGCACTGAAGAGAGAGACAGATGGTTTGTCAATGACGAGGCACTTTGGGAACTGTCAGGAATGTAGAATGGGAAACTGAGTCACACATCCACCCAATTTAGGCTTGATCAGTTTTGCCTTTGTTAATACAATTTCAGATAGAATTGTTGTCACTTAGTGTCTGGACATACATTTATGCCAGATAAGTAATAACAGACAAGACAGAATATAGGTAAATGGGCCCCAGTTACCGCATTCTGTGGCACTGAGAAGTCCTCCTTTCCTCCGTGATGGTCATCATCTTCCCTGGTCTCCTGGTCTGGTCCTGTCTCGTTCCTCAGTTTCTGGTCTGGCGTTTCTTCAGATTTTGGCCCATTTTCACATGTATTCTTATACATTTTTACATGCTCAATTACCCAATTTTCCTCCAATCAGCATGCAACACATTACCCATTGATTTTTACATAACCCGTACATTCAGCATGCGCAAGCTTTAATCACCTAATGTTTAAGTTTTTCCTGCTAAGTTTGCAGTTTCTGGGTCGGGTTGCCCTGGGTCCCCTGTTTGTTTCCCAGAAAAGGGAGGTTTTGTTTATCATTACATGTTTGTATCTCTTACTTACATCTTCCAACACAACCTATTACTTATCTTGCCAACAACATCATTTCAAACAAATCAGCAAATTATATAAAAAGGAAATTGACAAAAAAAAAAATTTATGGCAGGCAAAGCCCTTGGCCAGTGTGTTATCCTATCTATATATTTATTCGCTATCTATAATTACAGTTTATTAAAAATATAGCTAATGAAGCTTTCAAATCTTACCATTAGCAATCCTTCATTTTGAAGTCATAGATCAGTGTTTATATATTATCTTTCCCATAATCATAGAATATCCGGGTTGGAAGGGACCTCAGGAGGTCATCTAGTCCAACCCCCTGCTCAAAGCAGGACCAATGCCCGATTTTTGCCCCAGATCCCTAAATGGCCCCCTCAAGGATGGAATTCACAACCCTAGGTTTAGCAGGCCAATGCTCAAACCACTGAGCTAGCCCTCCCCCTTAATCTTTTAGGAGGGGGGTCTTCGAGAGCACAATAAGATTCTTTCATATGTTAACATTTCTTATCTTGTGCAAACACAAGTTCGTCAGGGGATTTTTTACTTTACTCAAAGTCCAAAGTTTTTCCTGTTACAGATTTTTAGATGCTCTGGTTTCAAGGCCTGGAGGTTGTTTTTTTTCTTCAGTTTATTTTAATGGTACCCCAACCAGTGCCTTATTCTAAATCAGTCACCAGGACACGGTTTGGTATCTTAGTGCAGAGGGAGAGATAGTGGCTGGTCTGGGGTCCTGATGCCAGCGTTAGCCGTACGGTAAGGCTGCAGAGCTCGGGAATTGACATCTTCAAAGGCACGTGAAGCACCACGGAGAGACTAGAGGATTGAGACTGGCACAGGCAATGGAGTGTCTCACTGGCTGATGCTGACACAAATCTTGCTCTCAAGCCCTACTAGCAGGCCTGCCTCTGGGGCTGTGTCAAAGAAGCAGCTAGTCAGCGAGGTCTGTCCATCCAGCTTCCTGCCAGGTCTGGCCTGGTGAAGACGCCATACATATTGTACTTGCTCTGAAGATCCCAGTGTGGTGGGAAGATGAAGGACCCGATTCTCCTCTTGCTTTATTCAAGTTTTATGCTAGTGCAACTCCACTGGTTCCTTTGGAGCCTCTCTTGCTTCTCTGGCAGGAGGGGTGCCCGCATGTGTGCTGTGGCAGTCTGTGTACCAAGTTCCATGGGTATGAATTGAGGTGGTAGGGGTCTGTGTGTATGTCTGGATTCGGGAGGCACCTGTGTGTGTTTGGATAGTTACTTGACTGAAGGGGAAAGGCAGGGGTGTGTGTCTGTGTTGCGGAGGGTTTGTGGGAGATGAAAGAGGATGAGAGTCTCTGGAGAGTGTGTGGTGTTGTGGGGCCCCACTTCTCTTGGCCCTGCGTTGTGCAAGGTGCTGTACAAACACATACAGTAGGAGAGAGAATCCCTGCCTTGAAGAGCTTTGTGTCTAATTTAAGACCAGACAGAGCAAGGGATGCAACCCACTCCAGGGAGGGCAGGGGTCACAGTAGTCACATTGTGTGGTTATGTAGGTGTGGAGTGTGCAAAACTGGATGGTTCGGACTTCAGAGTCATCTAAAAGATTTTGTTTCTCACTATAAATACTGCATATAAACATCTACATTCAAAGGATGTTAAGGTTGCAAAGTAAAGGCCTCAAAAGTTAGGAATGCTAGAATTGAGATTGCCCATGCAACCTTACCTCTGCCACCTTGTGCGTGTGCCCGATGGCATAGACTTCAATTACCTGATCACATACTATTTTTGCCATGAGATCTATGCCGCTCTCCTTGCAGTCCTGGCACAGAGGTGGACAGCAGGCATGGCTGGAGTGTGCTGTGTTCTGCCTATGCTCAGCTGGTAGATGGTCCCTTAGGGGCCATTGCCAGGGCTGGGCAAAGAGCCAGGGTACATAATTTTATAATTGAAGTGGAAGCTGGGCATAGTAGAGAATTGGGCTCATAGACCTTGAACCAAATCTGTGTGGCTGATGCAGACTCTGCACGGGTGCCTCCATGTAGCTGAAACTTTCCTCAAGAGGAGAGAGGCTGTATTAGTGACATGCCCAAAATTTGAAACACACCCCTCCGAAATGTGATCACGTTCTGCTTAATGTTCCCCAATAGCATTGTCTCAATGATCTTCCAAATTCAGGGCTGTGACCGCTGATCAAAGTCCCACGGATATCACAGATCTCCGGAGCATGCTCCGACTCTCCCCATTCACTCTTCTTATGAACCAACAGGGGAGGGGCCCTGGCAAAGAGAATCTGAAATTGTGACCATGTCCGTCTCTTGTCCAAAGTGGCATGGGCAAGTTGAGTGGGGTGACCAGCTCATGTAACGAGACTTGTCATGAATCCCAGGCAGGGCTGTTTTCTTTCGTATTTGCAGGGATCGTGGGGACGTCTGCAGGTCCCGTGCCCCTGATCGCCTTCAATGAAGCACTGCAGTATTTCCAGACAGCTGACCTGTCAGAGTGCAGGGTATGTACGAACCACCGGGATTGAACAATGTAGCGTTATGCGTGTTTGTAGCACTGTGCAGACAGGAACTCATTATTCCTTGGGACGCTTCCCTGCGGTATTTTACTGAGGCACAGGGAGGTGAAGTGGCTTGTGCAAGGCCACATAGTGAGGGTGGGCTGGGCTGAGGTTAGAACTCAGGGTTTCCTGACCAGAGGCAGCCTCCCCCATTTTCCCCTGTTTCCTATTACCCTGTCTTCTGCCCAATCCCAGTCACCACTCTATCCGCTTCCTGCTTGTCCTTCTCTGGTCCTATCCTTCCCAGCATATGCCCGCTACTATTTCTGCCCCTGATCACCCTGCGTTTGAGTCAGATTTCTCCCTCCTCTGTGTCGTTCGGGTGCTAAGAGGGAGAGCCTGGTACCACAGGAAGGAGTCTTCTTGCACTCACTCCTGGTGGTTGGTGCCCCCGTGCCTGTAGTCTGGGAGGAGCAATTCCAGGAAGATTGGTGCCCAGCCCCTTCACTTCTGGGCTAGAGCATGCAAGAGAATGTTCAGAGAACGTAGCTGCCACAGTCTTGCAAACCTCTTCTGAGCGGCTGCAAATGGTGATTTAGAAAGGCGTGTAATGCAGCTAAATCGTGGTGAATTTTCATGGAGATAACCAAAGACCCGAGGTCTTCCACGCTGCCAGATTTCAAGCCCTTCTTGCGAAGTGCCGAGATGCCGGAGCTCCTTAAAGGAGCAGTTGTGAGAATTTTTTTAATGTTGACTGATCAACCTATTTTTCTTCTAACTTCATTCTCAGAAGCAGCTGAAATGGGTTTTGCTGCAACTTTCCAAACCTGTTCAGTCTGAAGTCAAGACCCAGCATGGGAAATTTAATCGCGAGAGGGTAAAGCTTGGCAAAATCATAGGCAACTGAAAACAGGGTCTTGTAACGGAAGGTGTTAGGCAACCTCAACTCTTGGTGTCACTATCCAATTAATTAACAAATTCCCTTGCGAAACAGGATTTTCTATCCTGTTCTCTCCCAGATGGTGCCAAGGGAGACGGCAACCCCTACCCCACCACCTCTCTTCATGTATCATCCTTTTCGCAGAAAAAGATCCAGCCGACAGTGCAAAGGCGAGGGCTGTCTGCCGTGGCTCACTTCTTCTTCGGCCCCCCGCGGCTCCATCAGCAGCTGCAAGGCGAGCGGGATCTGGCCCTGGCGATAGCCCAGTGTGAGTATTCCCTTCTAAGGAGGAGGATGAGCTCTGCCCAGCCAGTGTAATCAGCCTCCCTCAGGGGATTGTTTTTGATTAGATAACAATCATTGAAGTGTGACCCACCCCTCCCCTCAGCTGGTGTCCTGGAGCGCAGTGCCTTCCCCCCTACTCCTGCCTGCGTACCTTGGACTGAAGACTTTCAGGAGTCATCTTGTGCCCTCTCTCCCTGTTCCCTGCACATTTCACTAGCATCCTCCCTCTCCATCAGACCAGACATTCTGAGTTACTGGGTCACAAATTCTTTCTGCAAAAAGAGGCAGCGTTTGTATTGGGGTCTCTTTATTGAATAGTGTTTGAATATGACCCCTGGAAACACCTGCTTCCTGCTGGGACATGTCAGGTTTATCAGGTACCAAATCCCCACAAAGGTCTCCAAGATCATTGTTTGAATGAAGATTTGGGGTGGTCTCTGAAGGGGCTTAGCAGATTTAGAAATCTCTTCAAAAAAGAATCAGGGAAGTCAGTTGTTGTGATCTTTATATGTCCAACTGGTATGTGCTAAGAGGAAGGATGGTCCAGTGGTTAGAATGCTAGCCTGGGACTTCCCTGCTCTGCCACAGACTTCCTGTGTGACCTCAGGTGAGTCACTTTGTCTCTCTGTGCTCAGTTCCCCATTGTACAACAGGGATAATAGTACTGCCCTACCTCACAGGGCTGTTGTGAGGATGGATCTATTAAAGAGTATAACAATTTCAGATACTACGGCTGTGAGGGCCAGATAAGTACCATAGATAGAGGGAAATAAATGATCCAAACTTTGATCAAGTTAAATGAACTGTTGTCACAGAAACATAAGCATTGTCTCACTGGGTCAAACCAGTCTTCTCTTCTCTTTTCTCTTCTCTTCAGGTTCTTGTACTGTGCTCCTCACTGTAATATCCGAGCAAGTTCCAGCAGTGCATTAAGCAACTTGACTGATCTGTCAAGTGGTATTTGTTCTCTCATCCTCTCCTGGGGGGAAGAAGTGTGTATAGTGAAGTGGCTTGTTTTGGTTGGGTTTTTTGTTTAAATATACACATTGCTCTGTATTCATGTTAGAGGACAAAGCCAAAGAAATGCACCTCGTCCTGGGAGTGGAAGGTGGGGAGGATTGGGGTAGTCCCTAGTTTCTTGCAGAGTTCTGGGGCTGGCCTCTGAGAAAGTTCTGTTTCCTGCACAGAGGCTCTTTACCCTTACTGGGGAGTTCCATTGTGCAGTATGAAAAGGAGGACTTGTGGCACCTTAGAGACTAACCAATTTATTTGAGCATAAGCTTTCGTGAGCTACAGCTCACTTCATTGGATGCGTACTGTGGAAAATACAGAAGATGTTCTTATACATACAAACCATGAAAAAATGGGTGTTTACCACTACAAAAGGTTTTCTCTCCTCCCACCCCACTCTCCTGCTGATAATAGCTTATCTAAAGTGATCACTCTCCTTACAATGTGTATGATAATCAAGGTGGGCCATTTCCAGCACAAATCCAGGGTTTAACAAGAACATGGGGGGGGGAGGTAGGAAAAAACAAGGGGAAATAGGTTACCTTGCATAATGACTTAGCCACTCCCAGTCTCTATTCAAGCCTAAGTTAATTGTATCCAATTTACAAATGAATTCCAATTCAACAGTCTCTCGCTGGAGTCTGGTTCTGAAGTTTTTCTGTTGTAATATCGCAACTTTCATGTCTGTGATTGCGTGACCAGAGAGATTGAAGTGTTCTCCAACTGGTTTATGAATGTTATAATTCTTGACATCTGATTTGTGTTCATTTATTCTTTTACGTAGAGACTGTCCAGTTTGACCAATGTACATGGCAGAGGGGCATTGCTGGCAAATGATGGCATATATCACATTGGTGGATGTGCAGGTGAACGAGCCTCTGATAGTGTGGCTGATGTGATTAGGCCCTGTGATGGTGTCCCCTGAATAGATATGTGGGCACAGTTGGCAACGGGCTTTGTTGCAAGGATAGTTTCCTGGGTTAGTGGTTCTGTTGTGTGGTATGTGGTTGCTGGTGAGTATTCGCTTCAGGTTGGGGGGCTGTCTGTAAGCAAGGACTGGCCTGTCTCCCAAGATTTGTGAGAGTGTTGGGTCATCTTTCAGGATAGGTTGTAGATCCTTAATAATGCATTGGAGGGGTTTTAGTTGGGGGCTGAAGGTGACGGCTAGTGGTGTTCTGTTATTTTCTTTGGTGGGCCTGTCCTGTAGTAGGTGACTTCTGGGAACTCTTCTGGCTCTATCAATCTGTTTCTTCACTTCCACAGGTGGGTATTGTAGTTGTAAGAATGCTTGATAGAGATCTTGTAGGTGTTTGTCTCTGTCTGAGGGGTTGGAGCAAATGCGGTTGTATCGCAGAACTTGGCTGTATCTCTTTTTCAGTGTCCGCAAAAAGAAAAGGAGTACTTGTGGCACCTTAGAGACTAACCAATTTATTTGAGCATAAGCTTTTGTGAGCTACAGCTCACTTCATCGGATGCATACTATGGAAAGTGTAGAAGATCTTTTTATACATGCTTTGCTCAAATAAATTGGTTAGTCTCTAAGGTGCCACAAGTACTCCTTTTCTTTTTGCGAATACAGACTAACATGGCTGTTACTCTGAAACCTGTCATTTTTCAGTGTCCAGCATCAGCTGTGTCATAGGAAGGTGCAAAGAACCCCTGCACCAGGCTGTTAACGTACCTACAGGGAAAGAATCTTTCTAATGCTGTGCAGTATGAGGATTGGCTTGTGCTCTGAAACTTGGAGGTTTCCATCCTTCTCAGAGCTCCTGGATTTTTTTTCCTAACTGGATGTTCCTGGTATCCACATAAATGTCTAGTTCTTCTGTGAATCCATTTAACCTGCAGGGTTTGGGGTTTTGTTTTTTTGCCATGTCTCCACGTTGGTGCATTAGAAAAGAGGGATGTTCAATGTCACAGAGGGATGATCGGTGTTTTCCATACAGGTGGCTTGGATAATAATGAGAAAGTGCACATGAGGATCCTGCAGACCATCTACAAGAAACTAACAGGCTCCAGATTCGATTGTCCCCGCTACGGAGCCCACTGGGAAGAGCTGGGCTTTCAAGGTATGGTGAGGCAGTGAGGAGAGGGTGGGCTCTGTAGTGCAGAACTTTGAGGGTGGGGTCCCCTACTATCACTCCGGCCCTGTGGCTGAAGTGACCCAACACTGATTTAAAGGATTCTGGGTTTGTTACCTCCATCTCCCTACAGCAGCTCTTCACTGGGTGGCTTTTTTTTTTTTTTGCAGCTACTGATCTGGCATCTGTTGCTGTCTCAGCCAGCTGTCATTGGTGTGGCAGCTGGACAGTCAGATGCCAGTTTCTGCTGCCACCACTGGCATAGCTACTAATTTCCCAATGACTGCTGGCCCAGTGAGATGCCACTGACGTAGCTGATTGACCACGTGTACCTGGTTGGCCACTGCTGCTTGTTGGTTAGTGATCTCTGAATAAAAAGCCCTTTCTGAGGGTTTGATTTAGTAGAGAGGCACTAGTTGCAACTCCATAGCTAAGGCTGCATTTCAGTTTGCATATAAAGCAGGGATTCAACCTCTGTTTTGTATATTAAAAAAATACAGCACTTATCTTCAGCTACAGAACAATTTTCTGAGACGTTACAAATAAATCCATTAATTAGAATTGCACTTGTATTAAAAACTGGATTCTTTAAGAAATTTAACATGTCAGTCTTTTCTTTGTCTGGAATGAGTTTAACAATGGAATAACACAGACTCTTAAACTCTCCACATAGTTAAAAGTTAATCAAACTCTTGTGCATAGCCTGCATTTGAAGAAATTAAGTTGTAATTAAGGAAAGTTGTTAATGATTGTTGTATCTAATTGCTATGATCATATGGAATATGGACAGACAAAAGGCTGGTCTATGCTACAAAGTTAGGTTGATGTAAGCCACCTTGCACTGACCTAGTTGTGCATGTGTCTACACTTAAATTTGGTTCCTACCGAGGTGAGCGCCCCATTGTAACATCACCTCCCTGAGCTATGTTTAGCCCTGGTCAATTAACCGAGGTTGATGCCGTGCAAGTGTAGACACGGCATTACCTAACAGCCCTCTAGCAGCTGTCCAACAATTCTTGACCCTCACTGCTCTGGTCACAATTGTGAACTCCACTGCCAGGGGTCAGAGAGACCAGAGGGCCGGCTTTCCTAGCACCTTAATTGAATGCCTTTTCCTGATTGTCCAGTGCGATGACCACACCTAGCAGCTCTCCACTGTTGAGAGCAACTGCCCAGCCACCCATGCTGGCTTTGCGCTCCAGACACACTCTGGCCTGGAATAGATATTGGATCTCCTTGGACTGTGGAGAGAAGAGGCTGTGCGGGCACAGCTATGGACCAGCTGAAGAAATGTGTAGATCTCGGAGCAGATTGCACGGGGATGCAGGAGAAGGGGGATGACAGGGATCAGCAGCTGTGCCACATGAAAGTGAAGGAACTGCGGCAGGCAAACCGGCAGGCCAGAGAGGCCAACAGTCAATCTAGTGATGAGCCACAGGCCTGCTGCTTTTACAAAGAGCTGCATGCCATACTTGGTGGAGACCCTACCATCACCTCACAGAGCACTATAGGTACTGCTGAGGAGCCTGAGACACAGACCCCTGCCATGAACAGCAAAGAAGAGGAGGAGGATGGGAGACATGCAACCAGCAGGGTCCAGCTATGCCACAATCCAGGCCCTGTTTGAGACGCCCCCACAGTCCAGTCAGTCCTGGCACTTGCGCATGGGTGACCCAATGCTGGGGAAGGAACCTCGGGTAAGTGTGTAAATGTATTTCACGTTACAATGATGTACCGATAGTGCTCCCAACTTAGCAGGACACCGCTATCACCTTTTCGTTCATTTATTCTTGCCAGAAGAGGTAGCCGAACAACCAAGAGAGGTAGTTATTGGCTCTTCATTCCCTTGTGGAGTTAGGTGCAGGGTGCCATGCATAGCAGTTTGTTTCATGTACACAGGGGTGGTTGTTGAATCTTCCAGAGAGATCTTGATGAAATTTCCATGGCGGTATCTGTGGTCCTCTCCCAAAGATTTCTAGGATGGCAGCCTTTTTTCCTCTGCCGTAGGACACTTTCCCATGCCGATCGGCGATAATTTCAGCAGGCACCATTGCAGTAAACAGGTTAGCGGCATACGGGCTCAGGCAGCTCTGGGACGTCAGCAGCAGCTGTGTTTTCTGTGCCTTTGTTATCCTCAGGAGTGAGATGTCAGCTAAAATCACCACCGCCTGTGGAAAATGCTGCCAGTATTCAGCACCAGTGCCCTGTACTCCTAGTTTCATGCAACCGAGCAATTCCCTCCTAATTTCCCTCGCCCCTTGTGGGCCATAGTAACCACAGCTGGTGCTGTGAATGGCGCTGGGCACAAGCACTCCGAAGCAGAAGTGTCAATGTTTAAAACTTTAGGGGAGCAAGGGAAAGGAGTTCTGAACCTTAACTTTTGCTTTCCGTTGTGACTATGCTAACAACGGTACCTCTGTATGCTTTATCTATAGACGCTGCCATGGCCTTGAGGGGTTCCCCCTCCACACCTGCAGAATGCTTGAAGTAAATGAGGAGAAAGAAGAGGACTCGGGATGATATGTTCAGTGAGATCCTGCAAGCCAGTGCTGCATCAGACTGTGAGCAGAGGGCCTGGAGGGTGAATGTTGCAGGCTGTAAGGAGAGGGAAAGAGTGGACAGGAGAGCGGTCCAGGAGTCCCAACAGTCAAAGGAGAGAGAGATGCACCAGGGCATAATGGGGCTTCTCTGGCAGCAAACACAGATGCTGCAGACATTTGTGGACCTACAGGTTCAACAATAATGGGCTCGCCTCCCTCTGCAGCCCTTAGAGAACTCCATTTTAGCACTTCCCTACATTCCCCCCCGCCCCAAACATTCCACCGGGCATCAGATGCCGCATCCTTACCCCTACTGCTTTATACCAATGGACAGTAAGGACAACAACAACAGCTTCACATACACTGGCCTGTGAGAGCCACAGTTGCTGTATGTGTAGCCAAAATGGACAGGAATGTTCTTTCTCCTTGTTAAGTTCTGTTCTGTTAATTTATTAGGGTTTTAATGTACGTGCTTTTAAATTGCACAGATTTTTTTTTTTTTGCACTGGTTTTGTTACTCAATAAAATTATATTTTTTGGATAATAATTCATTTTTGTTAGTTCCCAACATGCGCTGCAGAATGCCTAGCAGTACTGAAAGCACCCACTTACTTTGTACAGTGTGACACAACTCATAGGATCAGTGACAAACACAGTGTAGTAATCATAAATGTACAGAAAGCACCGCAAAATTAATAGGTGCCTCAACAGTGTTCTAGTCATGGATGTACACCTAACAGGCCCCAAAACTTCAGGGCCAGGTAGAGCACAGTCCATCACAATGCATTATTGTGGCTTACTGGCAAAGGGTTCTTTCAAGGCTGCCTTCAGATGTATAGCTCCATGTTGAGCTCTTCTAATAGCCCTGGTGTCTGGCTGTTCAAATTCAGCAGACAGCAGCTCCACATCCACCTTTCTCCCTTTGCCTCACAGATAGTATGCAGGACACAGCAGGCAGCTATAACCCCTGGGATTTTTTTCTCACAGAGATCCAATCAGGTGAGTAAACAACGCCAGCGTCCCTTCAACTTACCAAAAGCCCATTCTGCATCAGCTGAGCTGACAGCTGAATCTTATCTTTGGTGCTGCCAAGGTGGCCAGTGTATGGCTTTATGAGCAAGGATAGGCTGGGTCCTCCAGGATCACTATGGGCATTTCAGCATCGCCAATGATAATCCGCTGGTCATGAAAGAAAGTCCCTGCTTGCAGCTTTCTGAATAGTTCTGTGTTCTTAAAGATGCAAGAGTTATGCACCTTCCCTGACCAGCCAACATGGATGTCAGTGAAGTGTTTTTAGTAATCAGCCAACGCTTGCATAACCATAGAAAAATAGCCCTTTCTGTTGATATACCCTGTGGCCAGGTGTGCTGGCTATTGCTGCACGACAGTTCAGGAACTCAGTTGCCACAAATCCATCCACGATGCCCTGCACGTTGCTGAGAGTCACAGTCCTGCGTAGCAGGAGACAGTTCGTGACCCTGCATACGTGCATGACAACGGCCCCTCTGTGGATTTTCCAACTGCAGAATGATTTTCCCACTGACCTGTAGAAATACAGCATTGCAAGTTTCCACAGTGTTATTGCCACTTGCTTCTCCACTGTCAGTGCAGGTCTCAGTTTAGTGTCGCTGTGCTGGAGGGCTGGTGTGAGAGTGGCGCACAGATCCAGGAATATGGCTTTTTGCAGCAAGAAGTTCTGCAGTCATTACTCATTCTATAAAAAAAACCTGCATTATGATGCAATCCCGCCAATCTGTGCCTGTTTTTTGAGCCCAGAAACGGCACTCCACTTTCTACAGCTGCTCAGTGAACGTCAATAACCACCTTGAATTGGCTTTCGTTATGTCCCACAGCTATCTGTTGTCCATGAAAGCATCATGTTCACTGCTGATTCAGTTCTTCTTGCCTCTCTGCAAATACCAGAGGATTGTGTACCCTGTGCATGCAACCCTCATGACAATAACGCAGAGCTGTACAGGCTCCATGCTTCTGTCAGAGATGGCGAACAGAGAGGAGTGCCACGTGGGTTCCTGGGAGTTTTAAAAAAGGCATGAAAATGGTGGGATATGGGTGACATTCTGGGATGGCGAAAGTTGCGTGCTGGGAAGCTGACCCTTTGTTCCTAGCCACCCCTGTGTGGCTTGTTTCTGCCCCACCATGAATTACCAAAATCTCCCAAGACACAGTGCGCTGGAAGGTGGTGGTTTGCAAATTGCGATACCTACCCATGGTGCACCTCACTGTGCATTGACACAAGCACTCCTGGTGAGTATGCACATCGCTGACACAAGGAGTCAAGTATACACGCGCACAAGTGGTATACTAACTGCAGCAGCTTTATGCCAGCATAATTTGAGTCGGCCAAAGTTTGTGGTGTAGATGTATCCTAAGGTAAACGACTTGGGCAACTGTTAAGTGACGTCGGCGCTAACTCACCAATCCTCACACTTCCTCTGTAGCTAATTTGCGTGTTGCGCTTCCATTCGTTGTACTTGCTGAGAGCAAATTAGTTCTCACTGCCTTGAATTCAGAGATTAACTCCCTGATATTGGTTTGAGTGGCCAGTTAATTTTCTTTAGTCTTGTTTGCTTTCCTGGCTTTGTAAGCCAGGACTTACTGGCAGACATGGATTCCTTTTCATGCTACAAGCCTAAAACGCTCTTTGATGTTCCTTGTTTTAATTTTCAGGTTCTTTGGGAGGTATCCATCCTCTGGCCCCTGTGTTCTGCTTTTGGAGGTGGGGGTTGAAGTGTGTTTAAGGAGAGAATGGAGGCAGCTTATTCTGCTGTCCCTTCAGAACCATAGATGCCTGTTCAATTCTGTCAATACATTTGCCTGCTATTCTGTGCTATAAAGTAACACCAGGGAAACTGCCGTGGGGTTTTTGTTTTCAGGAGAAGATGCCACGAATTCCTTTGCTGCCTTGTACTGTGTAGATGCTGCTGTTTGGCACAGGTTGTAGCAGATACTGCATGCCCTAAACGAGCTTGTGTCTTGTGCTCTTGCAATAAAAAATGCTTTTGTTTTTATACTTCAACTCCTTGCAGTCTGTTTGTCCTAGGTTACATAATAATACTAATAGCATGCTCTCATACAGCATTTTTCATCCAGAGATCTTCAGGTGCTTTACAAAGAAGGTCATCTTTAGCCTCATTTTACAGATGGGGAAACTGAGGCAGAGAGCGGTGCAGTGACTTGCCCACGGTCACGATGCAGGCCACTTGCAGAACTGGGACTAGAACCCAAGTCTCCTGAGTTTGTCCAGTTCTCTCTCCACTAGGCTGTACTGCTTCTGTTCTCTTGGACTAATTTCCATTACCTGAAAGTGGGTGAACTTGAATAGGACAGGATGGGACTAATCGGCATTGCATCTCTAGCATGGTGGTAGTGTGAGGAGGGTTGGCTGAATCAAAACAGGGGTAGGTAGTGGGTGACAGGCAGGGAAGACCATGACAGGTCCTTGCTGTGGCTGGAAAGGAGGATGGAAAGCGGTGGACAGGAGAGACGTAGAGCATTGATGATGAGAAACAGGGATTGATGCTTCTGCTTCTTCTGTAGTTATATCTGCCTATTTGCATATGCTAATCATAGTTCCCAGGAGAAAGTTTTCCTCAAACTTCTTGAAACCTTGTCCTCCCTTGATTTCCAGAACTCGGTCCTCTCCTGGTTCTCCTCCCTCTCTAATTGGTCTTTCAACATGTCCTTTGGAAGATCCTCCTCATCCTCTGTCCAACTTTTTATGGGGGTTCCACAATTCTCTGTTCTTGGTCCCCTCCTCTTCTCCCTCTACACCTTGTCTCTGGGTGATCTCATTCACAAGCATAGCTTCAGCTACCATCTCTATGCTGATGACCCTCAAATATACCTCTTCGCTCCAGATCTGCCTCCTGTCCAGATGAAAACTCTGGCCTTCCTCTGACATCTCCTTGTGGATGTCCAGTCATTAGCTTAAGTTCAACATGACCAAAACAGAGCTTCTGATTTAACCGATGGCTCCTCCCCATTCCCTGCGTTTCCCTGTGGACAACCCCACCATTTTCCCTGCTTCTCAGACCTGTAACCTGGAAGTCATCGTCAACTTGGCCGCTTCTCTAGATCTTCATCCTCAGGCTGTGTGAGTGGCCTGCCTTATCTACCCACACAGGTAAAACTCTCATTGTCTCACATCATCAACTACAACCTCCTCCTCTCTCTGGCCTTGGTATCTCCCATCTTTCCCCCTCTTCAAAACACTGCTGTAAAGATCGCTTTTGTGGCTTGTCACATTGACTGCATCGCTTCTCTCTGTGTCCCACCACTGGCTGCCCCTTCTCCATCCGGTCAAACACAAACTACTTGTCTTCCCTTATACCTAACCAGCCACTGTCTTCTGTCTGGTATCAACGTGTTCATCACGCCTCTGCTTTGCTAATGATGCCAACTTTCATTGCTCATCTGTGACGTTTTCCAACAAGCACCTTGGGAGGCTCTCTCATGGTGCTCCCGTGCGTGAGGGGCTCCTTATGCCTATTCAAAAAAGCCACTTCCATCAAATCCCTCCATCATGCTCTCCTCCGCCATGAAGCCTAAAAAAAACTTGACAGCTGGTGTGCTGAGACCACTGGTCATCTTTTAACTATTGTTTCCTTGTGCTCCCTTATCTGTCTATGTGTATCCACCTGTTGCCTCTCATCATGTACTTGGATTAGAAGCTCTGTGGGGCAGGGTCCTGCTCTTTGTATGTATGTACAATAGAGCCCTGACCTCTAGGTGTTCCTGTATGTCGGCAGCCATGTTGCACTTTGATTGGTTGATGGAGTTACTTCGGCTTGACTGTCAGCAGCAGATCCTACCTTAATGTTGACGACATCTGAGAGTTGGAGTACTGTCAGTATTTTCCCCCTGTCTGTACGAGGCTTGGCTGCTTTCACTAGTCACAGTGACACACACAGGGGTCACTGGCATGGCAGCTCGAGGTGGAATTTCCTGCGGGGGTAGACGTGTGCATGCGAGCGTTTGATCTTGCTAACATGCTACAAATGGCAGCTTAGTGGCAGTGCGGGCAGTGGGATGGGCTAGCTGCTCACGTACATACCTAGGATCTCGGACAGGATTGCACTCGGGGGGCTAGGCTGTCTCGCTGCCTGCACCACCATGGCAGAGCTGCTATATTTAGTGTAAGAGCTTGATCAGCACTCGTGTGCACATGTCTACCCAAGCTGGAAATTCACCTCCAGCGCCAGTCCCCTCTGTGTGATGTTTGGCCCGGGTTGGGTAGGCCAAGGTTATGAACAGCTTCTTCCCATGTCTGTTTTGAGCCTGCTGGGACACGACTGTCTTCTTGGATGTCCACGACACTCTCTCCATGCAGTCTTCCGTAGAGAACAATTTTAGGCAGCTGGGACAGGGATCATCTGGACATCTAGCAAGATGGCCCAATCATTGGAGTTGGGACCTTTTGATGATTGTAGTCACTTTCAGTCTTCTACAGATGTAATTCTGTCATCATCTACCCATCTTCGCCATGCCTAGGATATGGCCCAAGCATGTCATCTCCAATGTTTGCAGCTTTTGCTCCAGACACTTTGTCAGTACCTACGTTTCACAACCATAAAGTAACATGCAACACTCATTGTACCCACATTAATCTGATTTTAGCTGTTGTGGACAGCTGAGTTAAGGTTCTAAGCATTTTATTTAGGCACGCAAACATTCTGCAGTTTACTAAAACAATCCTCTGAATTTGTAAACTCACGAGGTTTTGCTCGAAGCATTCAGTGGGGTCTTATGTAAAAATGATCTCCAATTATCCAGAGTCTTCCAGGCTAGATAGGATGGAGAAGAGCTGAATTCTATAATCTAAAAAATAAGCATAAAAAAAAAAAAGCTTTAGCACCCTGCCTACCAAACAACAAAATGCAATCACCTCATTAGTCATCATAAAAACACAAAGCAAACAAAGCGCGAGCCCCTCTTTTTCTCCATTTGGTCTCCAAATGGCTCGCTACTTCCTGTTTTTAATGGCCCTAGGCACATCCCAGAATCCTTTGCTAGGTGGTGTGGCAACTCTTCTGAAGCATCAAGTGGCTAAAAAGCATCTTGGGCCTGAGCCCACTGGAGAGGAAAGTTGGTCTGCAAATGGTGGATCGATAGAGGAGAGAGGTTGTGACCCCTCTACTGCCTGGCTTCATGGAGCAGTGCAGGGAGCCTGCCCTGGCATCCAGTTAACTTCTGCTGGGTGTGAAAACTGGAGAGCAAGAGCAGCTGCGGGCAGGTCCAGGGAGATGAGGGAGACAATATATTCGGTGCCCAGTTGCAGCAAAATGGTGAATTCCATGGTGGAAATGCAGAATTCAGTGACAGATTGGGGAAAAATGCCAATTCCATGAGATGAATGGGGCAGTTCACACCACTTAGAGCCGTTGTCGCAGGCTGACTGCAAATTCAGGCGGGTATCACTGGCTCAGTTAATGCGTGGTAGATACTTTTGAGGTTTTCTCAGCAACTATAAGGACTGGCAATGGAGTTTGTCAGAATATACATCATGCTCCAAAGCAGGCACGTAATAAGACAGGGAGAGCATATACTGAGTGATTCAGGACAGGAACACGCATGGCTTACCTGGCTGTATGTTTTTATATTAAAGGTATGGATCCTGGGACAGACCTGCGTGGGACTGGATTGCTCGGGTTAATGCAAATTCTATATTTTGTAATGGACTCTCGGACATTACCCCTAGCTCGAGATGTTTTCAAGCTGTCCCAGCATGAATCACAGGCATGTCCTTCCCTCTTCAACTCTGACTCTGGATTGGTATTTATTTATTATTATTAAACTTCAGGGAAAGGTAACCATGGAATCCTGCTTTTCGATTGGCTGCTAGGAAAACTCTTTCACGTCCCAGATTCTCTGCTTCATCCAGTTTCTGATCAATAGTGCTGTCTTTCCACAGCCCTGAAAGACGTTGGCTACTCTGCACCTTGAATAAATCTGACGGTGTCAATTCCACAGCCTCCCTTTAGCCAAACTTTAGTCCCATTAGCCAAACAATTCTCACTTATAAAACGTTCCCCATGGTACATGTTAATTTCCTTCACTTGTTTTACACCCATCATTGCTTATTTTGTTTTGGTGAGGGAGAAGATGTTTTAATCAAAGACAGGCCCAAATTGTATCCCAGAACCAAACCCCAGCTCTGTTTGGTCATAGGCTCTTCAGTCAAGCAGACAAAGCTATAACCTGATCCAATGGCTGGAAGTTGAAACTAGACAAATTCAGACTGGAAATAAGGCGCTAATTTTTAACAGGGAGGGTAACTAACCATTGGAACAATTTACCAAGGGCTGTGATGGATTCTCCATCAGTGCAATTTTTAAATCAGGATTGAAAGTTTTCCTAAAAGATCTGCTTTAGGAATTATTTTGGGGGAATTCAATGGCCTGTGTTATACAGGAGGTCAGACTAGAAGACCACAATGGTCCCTTCTGGCCTAGGAATCTATTAATCCAGATCCAGACTTTATATCTTCATAATGGGAATGGGTGGAACCAAACCCTCAGATTAAAATGTGCGTTCAATAACTGGAGCCAAACTCCGGGTCAGGGCTGATTGGGTTTGGCCCAATGGAAAGATAGGTTTGAGCTGCCAACTCTGACCCGAGTCTGTATCTGTATTTATTGATATCACCAGAGTGCCTAGGAACCCCAGTCATGGATCAGGGCCCCACTGTAGTAGATGCTGTACAAACCAAACCAAAAGACGGCCGCTGCCCCAAAGAATTTACAATATCCAGGGTTTAGATCTGGGCCCATCTCTAACTATAACAGACCTAAGGAAGGGCATTGTCCAGGTGCTGGAGGGAAGAGGGGCCTTATCCAGGAGAACAGGGGCGGAATCACTGATTTCATTCTGTTTCTTTTCCAGAATTTCCCTTTCTGTGTCATGTCTATAAATATCACTCGCATCGTGATCCAGGCCCTGAGGGAAGAGCATCTTTCTCGGTGAGTTCACAGCCCATTGTGGCCCTAGAGCCTGTGTGTAGACCCCAGGCTGCATTACGAAAGGCTCATCTACACTTCATGTACCACCATGCCAGGAGACCCAATTACCTCTTGGTTTTGAGGTGCTGCTTTGTAGCGCAGGCCGGCCTGAAATGTGAGCACATGCAGAGAGGAAAGAGTTGTACCCCAGTAAAGCAGGCAGGGACTTTCTACTTAGCTGTGCATCTGGAAGTAAAGGCATTGTATATCCAAGGGTATTGCGTATGCTGAAGGATTGCTTCTGTCTCTGGCTCAGACAGGTTGCATGCGTCAGGCTGTATATGTATTTAGCACTCTCATACATAAATGAGTGTATGTTCCAGTGTCTGATGTGGCTTGATACTGAGGAGAATTGGAGCACTGCAGGACTGGGGTTATATCCAGGCACTGGTATAGTTAGTTATTTAGGTTAGTCAAGTGCAGAGAGGCCTACAGAGAACTTCAGTGGGACTTAATTTGGGCATCATGATGGCAGATGATTTGCAACGTTGACAGATGCAAAGAAATATTTGACCCTGGAGGTAGGGATAAAATCGGAAAGGCAAAGCCACAGAATGAATTACAACTAGCAAGGGATATAGGAGTCGATAAGAAGAGGTTTTATAAGTACTTTAGGAGCAAGAGAAAGATGAAGGAACATGTAGGTCCACTACTTAGCAGGGAAGGAGAGCTAATAATGGACAACACCAGGAAGGCTGAGCTGTTCAATGCCTATATTGCTTCAGTTTTCACTGAAAAGGTTAATTGTTGAACAGATACTTAACACAATTAATATTAACCACATGGGGGAAGGAACACGCCACAACAGGGAAAGAATGGATTAAAGAATATTTAGATAAATTAGATGTGTTCTAGTCAGCTGGGCCCATTGAAATTCACCCTGGGGTATTCACCCTGGGAACTAGCTAAAGCAATCTCAGAACCATTAGCAATTATCTTGGAGAACATTTGGAGAATGGGTGAGGTCCCAAAGGACTGGAGAAGAACAAACATAGTACCTATCTTTAAAAAGGGGAACAGAGAGACCTTACAGACCAGTCAGCCTAACTTCTCTGGAACAAATAATTAAACAATCAGTTATGCACCTTGAGGATTATAGGGTTATAAGGGATAGCCAGCATGGATTTGTCAAGAACAAATAATGCCAAACCAACCTGATTTCCTTCTTTGAGAGAGTTACAGGCCTAGTGGATGGGGGGGAAGCAATAGATGTGATATATCTTGATTTTAGTAGGCTTTTCACACAGTCCTACATGACACTCTCATAAACAAACTAGGGAAGTGTGATCTAAATGAAATTACTATACGGTGGGGGCAAAACTGATTGAAAAACTGTCCTCAGAGTAGTTATCAAGGGTTCACAATCAAACTGGGAGGACGTGTGTACTGAAGACCTGTATAGTTCAGTCCTGGGTCTGATATTATTCAACATTTTCATTAAAGACTTAGATAATGGAGTAGAGAAATGCTTTTAAAATTTGCAGATGCCATCAAGCCGGGAGGGGTTGCATGTACTTTGAAGGACAGGAGTAGAGAACAGAATGACCTTAACAAATTGGGGAATTGGTCTGAAATCAACAAGATGAAATTCAATAAAGACAAGTGGAAAGTACTGCACTTACAGAGGAAAAATCAAGTGTACAGCTACAAAATGGGGAATAATTGGCTAGGTGGTGAGTACTGCGGAAAAGGATCTGGGGATTATAATGGATCACAAATTGAGTATGAGCCAATACTGTGATCAAGTTGTGAAAAAGGCTAATATGCTCCTGGAGTGTATCAACAGGAGGTAATTGTCTACTCAGCTCTGGTGAAACCGCAGCTGGAGTATTGGGTCCAATTCTGAGTGCCACACTTTAAGAAAGATGTGGACAAATTGGAGAGAGCCCAGAAGAGGGCAACAGGAATGGTAAAAGGTTTAGTAAATCTGACTTGTGAGGAAAGATTTAAAAACCTGTGCCTGTTTAATCTTGAGAAAAGAAGACTGAGTGGGACATGAGAGAGACAAGGTAGGTCAGGTAACGTCTCTTATCGGACCAACTCCTGTTGGTGAGAGAGACAAATTCCTGAGCTTAACAGAGCTCTTCTTCAGGTCTGGGAAAATATACTCAGAGTATCACAGCTAACTACAAGTGGATCAGATGGTTTAGCATAAGTACTTAACACACATTTCAAGGGATGCTTCAAGGTGAAATGATCCCCGCTATGACAATACTGCACGGGGACATGAGAACAGACTTCAGATATATGAAGGGCTGTTATAAAGAGCGCTGTGATGAATTGTTCTCCATGTCCACTGAAGGTGGGGCAAAAAGCAACGGACTTAATCTGCAGCAAGGGAGCGTTAGGTTAGAAGTTAGGAAAACACTTTCTAACTCTGAGGGCAGTTAATGTTGGAATAGGGTATCAAGGGAGGCTGTAGAATCCCCGTCGTTGGAGGTTTTTAAGAACAGGTTAGACAAACGTCGGTCAGGGATGGTCTAGATGCATTTCCTCTTGCCTTAGTGTTGGGGGATAGGCTGGATGACCTCTCACGGTCACTTCCAGCTCTACATTGCCATGATTCAGACACTTCGCAACGTTCTAAATGCAGTGGAAAGGAACCTGGGCATCATTGCAGACGGGCCAACAGAGAGCTGTGGTCCACATATAGCCGTGGTGCTCAGAGTTACAGTCGTTAATGTCAGCAAAAAGAGTATTGGAAGAGAGAAAAAACCTCATGCTTCAGGACTTAAGCCAATCTCTGTTAGAGATCAGGGTGAGACCTAATGTGGGGGCACGTCATCCCCCGTCTGCTATTGCAGGCTTCTTACCCCTTCCTCCGAGGCATCCATGGTGCTGCCATTGTCCATGTTGGGAAACTGGGCTAGATGGGCTTTGGGTCTGATTCAGTGTGGGGGTCCCTGTGATGCTGAAAATTAAGCTTAAAAAAAAAAAAATCAGTGGCAGCGTCCAAGCATGGGAAACTTCTGCTGGAAAGGTTAAAGTTTGTCAAAGTTATAAACGGTTCTAAAGGGGGGTTCTAACAGACAGTGTTAGGCTGATTTAATAATAGCCATTGCAACTACTGTACCACTTATCATTCAAGAGGGAACTTGTTTCCTTCATTAACTCCCTGTGTTCGCAGGGCCATGCAGGAACGAATCTCTGGCTGGCGTAAATCTCTCTTTCGGGTGGATCTCTAGGGCGGTGTTTCTGTAGCTCTTGCCTCTGGATTTTCTGGGAAGGCAGAGGGTAGAGATAAGCATTCCCATCCTTGTCTCTTTCAGAGAGTGTAACCGCAGACAGCAGGTCATTGCAGTGCTGAACGATTTGTATGTGGCCACCTCTCTGCGCCTCTACGTCATCTGGAAAACACAACAGAAAACAATTTCTGACTCTGGCTTTGTTCTAAAAGGTGCGTTTCCCTGCATCTTTTCTAAGCAAGGGACAATAACTTGAAGGTATGCAGGACAAACGCTGCTTGTTCCATACACCATTTGTGAGAGACTGGCCTGCCGACACCCAAGCTAGGCATAGAGGAGGGAGTCTTCATTAACTCTTGGTTCAGAGTCATTGGGCTTTAAAAGATCCTGTACCCAAGGTAACTGGGATTTTAATAGCCACATGGGATTGTCTGTAGCCCCACCTAATCACCTCTGATCATGTGTTGTAATTACAGTGGCTGCTCTTTAGGGATAGGGCTTTTTAAGAATACGTTTTGGAAAACGTAGTGTTTATTATGGAGGGGGGTGGGTGATGCTAAGACTTCACTACACCCTGCTTTAGGCTGCGCCTCTGCTCAGACAGAGAAGGCTCTCTGCGTGTTACATGATTGCAAAATACAGAGGTTGGCCGCTAGCTACAAGGGAAAAGTTAAGGGGGTGATGTAACCTGGCCGACGTAGTGGAAGGTGTATGTGAGTAGAGAAGTAGAAGTTATATATTTTAGGTGTGGTGTTAACTCATTTCCTTGCTTGTGTGGTTTTCTGCCAAGTATGTTTGTGTGGGTGTTCATGTGGGTGTGAAATTTCAATGTTTCACCCTTAATTGTAAGCCAAGTTGGCAGTGAGGCCTATGATTAAGGTTGCTTAACACTTTCCATAAGACCCTGTTTTCATTTGGTTAAGACTTTACCAAGCTTGAATTATTTGGGCTGAAATTTTCCAAAGCAGGTTTCTGCCTTGAGCTGAATTTTTTTTTTAATAGTTCAACCATTTCTTAGGTGAATATTTGTGAGGCTTTCAGATATTACAGCGATGAGCACCCAAAAAAACCCAGGAGGAAATTAGCCATCGTGTGCTCCCTGCAGGGTTGGAGTGGTGTGCATCAAATTAGACCTGCGGCATTCACTAAATCGGATAAAAAGAAATCTTGAATAGCTACCCATTCACTGAGTGAGGCCAGGGTCCTGTGGAAGAAATAGGATGTAATCATGTAATTAAGGACTGTATCATAATGTCTACAACACAAGCGGGCTGAATTAAGGTGTCTTGGGGCAACCTTAATTCAACCATTTCTTAACTTTTCTGTGCTTGACTTTACAACCTGATTAACAATTTTTTAATGTATTTTTAATGTAATTATATATGTTGTAGCACTGGGCCTTAGCTACAGCAATCAACCCTATTTTCTTTCTGTAAAAACCAAATCAGAGGCACAGCAGGGTAATTTATCTCTGAGCGCAAAAAATAAAAAGAGGGTAAAATCTGCCTGGTGAGCAGCAAGATGGTTGTGTTTAGTAGGGCTGAAAAAGCATCTTCAAAAAGTGAAGCTTGGGTCACCACAAATGCATCCGATGAAGTGAGCTGTAGCTCACGAAAGCTTACGCTCAAATAAATTGGTTAGTCTCTAAGGTGCCACAAGTCCTCCTTTTCTTTTCACAAATAGTTTGGGGTTTCTCCCCCATCCCCACCCATGTGGTCTATGCTCTTCCCTGGAGACCTGGGGCTTTCCCATCTGTTATGATCCATTGGGTGTATTTCAGTTGGTTTCAGGGTGAGACCCCAAGCTTGGACAATGAGGAAATGATTTTTCCAAAGATGTTTTATAGCTACAAGTTCCAGCCCTTCGTAGCCATTGTGGTTACATGCTCTGTCCTGAGAGAGAAGCACATGCCTAAGGAGACACTGGACCAAACTCTAGGGGTAAAGCTTAAAAATATACCAGAATAGTGTTACCCCAGAAAACACGTGGGGCTCAGGCTGCCCCATCTCCATCCCAGTGTCATGTCTTTTTATGTTGATACTAGATTTTTTTTCCTCCCCTCCGTTTTCCCAGACCTGGAGGCATTTGCCAAAAAGAAACCGAAGCAGCTTCTGAGATATTTGGAGATCTACATGAGTGGGAGAGCTGTGTCAGTAATAGATGGTGGTTTTCAACACCCTTCTCCCTCTTCCGGTGTACGCAGTCCTAGCCTCAACTCTGCCGTCGGCAACAGCAGCAAAGAGATAAACTTCACAGGAGTGTGCGACCCGCAGGTCGAGATGGAAGGAGAGGCCCGGCTGATCTGAAACCAAGGCAACTCCGCCAGCTGGGAAGATTCTTGTAAGACACCGATAGACACTCCCGTTGGCAGATCTCATTAGTGGCTGCTAGTCCCTGCCCATCTGTTCACAGTCACTTGTGAAGGGCTGGGAGGTCTGAGATGGTTCTAGAGTAAGTGCAGTATCCAAGCCGCTAGGCCAGATGTCGTGGGACACGCCCGGGGGAAGTTGGTGGAGTTTGCGATGGAGACCTAGACGACGCCCTACTTCATTGTAGATGCTTCAATTCTCAAGAGTTTGTTTGTGAGAGGCTTTAAGGAGCCCAAGCTGTTGTTGCTGAACCGTGAGGGAGGTGAGCAATTGAAGCAAACTGCAGGCCTGAATTCCCTTCAGCTAGGATTCTCCTAGGGGGAGTTAGCAAGTGGGTAGGAGATGCGAAGCTGGCGAGGTGTGTGTTTTATTCCAGCCATCGGGCTAGATGGGCCCAGAGTCTCAGTTGACGGCACCCACTGAGAATGTGGCTCACGGTTTGTAGGGGATCATCAGCGTTAAGCACTAGATGTGCTGGAATTGGGGTTGGTCGGTCTGTCTGGCTATCATAGGCCATTGCTGTACCATCCGAGCACCTCACGCTATTTAATGTATTTGTGCTCACGCCCCTCCCCTTCAGGCTGGGCAGTGCTGTTGTCCCTATCTTACAGATGGGACCTGAGGCCCAGAGAAACTTGTGACGTGCCCAGGGTCACACAGGAAGTGTGTGGCAGAGCAGGGGATGGAACCCAGTTTCCGGAGTCCAAGGGTATTGTCCCAATCACTGCACAGTAAGGTCCAGCTGTATGTGCCGGTGAGACGTTCTCCCTTGTAGTGTCATGTGGTAGCTGAACAGTTCAAGCCCCCTGCGGTTTGGGCTTCTCTACTCCAAGTTAATGCTGTTCGTACCGTCCCTGCTTCTCCTTCTGTGCATCTGCTCAGGAGTCTTCATCCAGAGTCTCAGTAAAGAATGATGAGCTTTACTGAAACTTGGAATGGGCAAGATCTGTCTGGATTAGGGCCTGAGAGAGCAATAGTGAGACGCAGACCCCTGGCTTCCAGCATTGCCACCGGCTATCAGTTCAGACACTCCTGACTCTTGAGCAAAGTACAGGAGAGACATGGTCATTCAGGTACATGGCATCCACCTGGATAGCTGCGGGTGGGCGCTCCAGCCTATGGGGGTACATCTGCACTGTGTTGTACACCCGGGTCTGTGGGAGCCAGGCTTTTGTACTCTATTTTTCTAAGCCCATGCCTGAGCTTCCACACTGCATTGTAAACCTGGGTTTACAGTTGCTGGACCTGAGTCTCACACCCGTGCTAATGCGTCCATAGTGCATGACGCAGACCTTCTGACTTGGGTCTGCAGCTTGACCTGCATCCACGCTTCACAATGACAGGGATTGGATCCGAATCACAGTCGGACATGGGCTCTGACCCACCTCCCTTAGTAGGGTCCGAGGGCCTGCTGACCTGAGTCAGACTGATCTGTGTGTAAACAGAAAGGGGGGTTGGGCTCAAACCAGAGTCAAAGTTTGGGCTTAGCGTGCCTGAGGTATACACCGCAATAAAACATCTACACCTGACCCGTGTCAGCCGACTCGGGCTGCAGGTTTATAAAATTGCTGTGTAGACATTTGCAGTCAGGTCCAGCCCAAGCCTGAACGTCTACACTGCAAGTGTATAGCTCTGCAGCCTGAGTCCCGCAAGCCCAAGCCAGCGGATGTGAGCCAGCTGCGGGTGTGTTATTGCCGTGTAGACATACCTTGAGAGAGTAAGGCAGGGAGGAGCTGGGGCAGGGAGAGCAGTCCCCATAGGCAGCTCCGGGGGGATACATGGACGTAACACTAGAGTTATGATTACAAGAGAATTCCCTGTATTGTTTGGGCTCAGAAATTTCCGAAGTTCTTTGCACCCCTGGCTGGGTCTCAGCTCAAAGGGGAATATTTGCTGGAAAGTTTCAGGGAATTCCTGTTCAGACATTTTTAAATGATTGACAGAGAACAGATTTGTCAGCTTTACACTTGTCTCCGCCCAAAAATGCTTGCTCCACAGAAACGCCAGAGTTGCCAACTCTCGTGATTTTATCACGAGTCTTGTGCTATTTGGTGTACTGATCAGCACGAGTTCAAAGGGAGTTAGGTGCCCAGGTGCTTTTGAAAATCCCACTAGCTTCCTATCTTCATCTCTAGGCACCTGAACGCCTTTTAAAAATCAGGCCCTTGGAGACTTGCCCAGTGTTTCAGGGGAGTCCAGGGTTTTGATGTGATCACAGCCTACAAGTACCTACGTGGGGAGAAGATTTCTGAGAGTAGAAATCTCTCTAATCTCGTAGAGAAAAGCATGGGAAGATCCGGTGTCAGGGAGGTGCGGTTCCAATTGGAAATAAAATGCAATTTCTTAACAGTGGATTAAGAACAGTGGAGGCAGTTAAATGGATAATAATTAACCAGGGGAACAGCTTCCCAGGGGCCATGATACCCTAGGGTCATATGTCTTCCTAAAAGTTTTGGGGTGCAATTCTGGGCGGTGGAGGCACAGCCCAGGGGTGGGGTAAGGGGAGGGAGATAGCTCAGTGTCAGGTCTGCAGCCCTGCAGTTCTGGGCTGCTCCAGTGGCCAAAGTGGTCTCTGCATAAGTCACATCAAACCGGCAGTAGCTCGCATTTGCAACCCAAGATCCTGTCGTGCAGAGACCTGCCTTCCTGTCCTCCCCAGCCCTGTTCCCAACAGGCTAGGGAAGGGAGGGCAGCAGCTTATGGTAGTGCTGCACTGGGGGAAGTTCTTCCATGGTGTGTTACACTGTTGGAGCAGCAGGTAGGGCCCAAACCTGTTGTAGGCTGCATCTCAACCCCAGTTGGCACAGCAGGGAAGAATAGTCCCCTCTGCTGCAGGTGTGGCCAGGTGAGGGTCTCTGGCCAGTGTTCTGTAAGAGGTCCACTGGCTGATGAGAGGGCTTCCAGCAAGCCTGAACTCTATGAAAAGGCCAGTTAGAATGAGCAGCTTACTGTAACAGATGCATTTTGCAGCAGAGGCAGGGGGATACAGTGGTCCAGTCTTCATGATCCTGAAGGGTGCAGGGCATGTTCCTTAGGGGGTGCATCTCCTGAGTGGCAGAGGAAGTAGTTTGCTTTCATAGTTGCCTTGTGCTTCATGGAAATCCAGTGTGTTCCTACTCTGCTGAGGCCCCATCCCTAGATGGGCCCTTTCCCACTGCCTTTCCAGCTGAATCTTTGTGCCTCTTTAGCATAGCACATAGGCCTGTTGTCTCATATCTTTGGCTTGGAAATGTCTCTGTCTCGGCACTGCGGTGCATGCAGATAAGCTCCATAAATACAGGCCTCAGTGGTGTGTCACGCCACATGCCACTACCCTGGAGCCGTGTACACTAATTGTAACCGGATAGGCACTTCACAATAAACCGTTGGCGTACTGTTTCCTCATCTCCGTGCTTACTGATGACAGGCTTGGCGTTCGTTTACACGCCTGCTTCACTCACACAGCCTGAAAAGGGAATGGCCTTCCACCGCCAACAAGTACTGAGTCAGCAGGAAAACAAAAGGGGCTCCTAGAGGTGCGAGTCTGTGGGCCTCTGTGAGCTCTCCCTCCTGTAGGCAGTAATGGCCACGGCAGTTAATGGGGATGAGATCTGGGAATGATGGCCAGCTTGGCACCCGTGGGCCCTGAGACCCTGGTTTATTTTCATTCCCTTTGGGCTAGAATCCTGAACTGGAATTCCATGCTATGCCTCGCAGGGGTGCAGCTCAGAAAGGCACCACCTGGGGGAATGGCTTTAAGCCACCTTTGCCCACCCATATGATTCTGGAATGCCCTGGGTGTGGTGTGGCCCCTGGCATAAAGCAGAGTAGCCAGGATCCGCACACACACAAACCCAATCAATGAGGCCGATGTAGACCATGCACCTTCCCCCTCAGCCTAGCCAGGTGTTATATGTTAGGTGTATCACGGTAGCGCAACTTCACCCATCGCCCGCAAACAGCGCTTCCGATAAGAGAGGAAGAATGGCAAACAGCCCCAGGGACTCAGTCGCTCTGCTGAGTTTTTGTTTACTCCCTATCATTAACATTCGGGCAGGGGGTTTGAAAAGCACGAGGCGCTGGCCCCAGTGACGAATTAGCCCCAGGCTGAGCGTTTCCCATCAGCTGAAAAATATCAATGTCCCATACTTTAAAAAGGAATTTCAATAATTAATAAAAGGTACCAGGGCTGAGAGCCTTGGAGACTGAAATCCTCAGTGTCTTCCCAGAACTGGGATAGCATGGGCACCAGAAGTGCAAGTTCTGGTTGATTGTATTCCCATAGGCCCAACTTATTGTGCTAGGACCGTGATACTCAGAGTTCAGTGGTTCAGGAGCCAAATTAGTGATCAGCATTACCTAAAAGAGCCACAGTCATGTGAATTCATTGTTTCATTTGCTATTTATATATTTTCTTGGTTATTCTGACCAAGTATTATTTTATCAATTACAGTTGGTTAATAACATAGTATAAGCATCCTGATTGGTTAATAACGTGGCTTGGTTAATAATCACACTGTGTTTTAATATCATGGGCTGCAAAGAGACACATTAAAGAGCCAATTGCAGCTCCCGAGCCTCAGTCTGAGTACGATTGTGCCAGGGGCTGTACACACACCGTAAGAGACCATTCCTGCTCTGAAGAGCTGGATATCTAAACAGGCAGGACAGACAAATGGCGGGGGGGGGAGGGAGGAAGTATTTTAGCCATCCTTTAGTTAAAGTGGAACTTAGTTTTCTGTTTAAGAGCTGGTTGTTTTTTTTCCAAAGCCCTCTGAAATCTACATGCACAGTCTTGAAAATTGCAAATTTGATGTCAGATTTGATCAGTGGGCTCCCAAGGTATTGTGCTGAGGGAAAAAAGGGACGGTCAGTAAAATATTCCCATTCTAATGATATTTTTATTTGCAATCCTGTGACTCAAACTATTGCACTGATCCCCTGCCAAACTGACACATCACCTGATCTGGTTTGATCTCAGATAGTGTGCAGCACTCACTGCCATGTAGTCTGAACAAGATATAATAATTATTGGGGCAGAAGGGGTGCGATTGAGCCCTGCAAACTGGAACGTGCCTGGGATCCACACCAGAGAAAACAATTTGTGTGTTGTGACACTGGTGAGCGAGAGTTCGTAGAGACACTCACTCCCCAGCCAAGGGCCCTGACCACTGGGCTGTTGGCTATTCAGGGCTGGTGATCTCTCTCTCTCTCTGTCATTTCTTTGTGAAAATTTCTAAAGAGCTCGGGCTCATCCCATTGTGGAATGGAAAACATTTTCAGAATCGTGAGAACTTTCATGAGTTGGGTAAACCGTTTCCTGACCGGCTACAGTAAATGCCAGAAGATGCACATTCTGTATAGATGAATACTCTGTGCAGAGCTGGAAATGGGCTCCTTTGGGAGTTTTCTTGGGGAATAAGGAGAGGATTCCTACCATATAGATGTTGTTTGAACCTCAGTTTATGGTTCAGCGCTGAACACTGGTGAGGACGCACACAGAGACGCAGGCAGGAAACAATCTCTGCCCCGTGTTCCTGCAATGGTGGAATGCAGAAGTGGAAAGCGTAAGCAAAGAGATCATACAAAATCTAGTATCAAATCAGAATTCAAAGTCCTCCCCTGCCCCTCCCATGACCAGGCAAAATCTGGGGAGTTAGAGGAAGTAGTGTCCTTTCTTCCTTGACCGTGATCAGGTGTGGATGGGGAGCGCTCTGTTTGGGATGATCTTTTATTCAGAATCATAGGATATCCAGGTTGGACGGGACCTCAGGAGGTCATCTAGTCCAAACCCCTGCTCAAAGCAGGACCAATCCCCAACTAAATCATCCCAGCCAGGGCTTTGTCAAGCCTGACCTTAAAAACCTCAAAGAAAGGAGATTCCACCACCTCCCTAGGTAACGCATTCCAGTGTTTCACCACCCTCCTAGTGAGAGAGTTTTTCCTAATATCCAACCTAAACCTCCCCCACTGTAACTTGAGACCATTACTTCTTGTTCTGTCATCTGCCACCACTGAGAACAGCCTAGATCCATCCTCTTTGGAAGCTCCTTTCAGGTAGTTGAAAGCAGCTATCAAATCCCCCGTCATTCTTCTCTTCCGCAGACTAAACAATCCCAGTTCCCTCAGCCTCTCCTCATAAGTCATGTGTTCCAGACCCCTAATCATTTTTGTTGCCCTTCGCTGGACTCTTTCCAATTTATCCACATCCTTCTTGTAGTGTGGGGCCCAAAACTGGACACAGTACTCCAGATGAGGCCTCACCAATGTTGAATAGAGGGGAACAATCACATCCCTTGATCTACTTAGAGCCCAAATGCCATTAGCCTTCTTGGCATCGAGGGCACACCGCTGACTCATATCTAGCTTCTCGTCTACTGTAATCCCCAGGTCCTTTTCTGCAGAACTGCTGCTTAGCCAGTCAGTCCCCAGCCTGTAGCGGTGCATGGGATTCTTCTGTCCTAAGTGCAGGACTCTGCACTTGTTCTTGTTGAACCTCATCAGATTTCTTTTGGCCCAATCCTCCCATTTGTCTAGGTCCCTCTGTATCCTATCCCTACCCTCCAGCGTATTTACCTCTCCTCCCAGTTTAGTGTCATCTGCAAACTTGCTGAAGGTGCAATGCACACCATCCTCCAGATCATAAATGAAGATATTGAACAAAACCAGCCCCAGGACCGACCCTTGGGGCACTCCACTTGACACTGGCTGCCAACTAGACATGGAGCCATTGATCACTACCCGTTGAGCCCGACAATCTAGCCAACTTTCTATCCACCTCATAGTCCATTCATCCAGCCCATACTTCTTTAACTTGCTGGCAAGAATACTATGGGAGTCCGTATCAAAAGCTTTGCTAAAGTCAAGGAATAACATGTCCACTGCTTTCCCCTCATCCACAGAGCCAGTTATCTCATCATAGAAGACAATTAGATTAGTCAGGCATGACTTGCCCTTGGTGAATCCATGCTGACTGTTTCTGATCACTTTCCTCTCCTCCAAGTGCTTCAGAATTGATTCCTTGAGGACCTGCTCCAGGATTTTTCCAGGGACTGAGGTGAGGCTGACTGGCCTGTAGTTCCCAGGATCCTCCTCCTTCCCTTTTTTGAAAGATGGGCACTACTTTAGCCTTTTTCCAGTCATCCGGGACCGCCCCCGATCGCCATGAGTTTTCAAAGATAATGGCCAGTGGCTCTGCAATCACATCCCCCAATTCCTTTAGCACTCTCGGATGCAGCGCATCCGGCCCCATGGACTTGTGCTCATCCACCTTTTCTAAATAGTCCTGAACCACTTCTTTCTCCACAGAGAGCTGGTCACCTCCTCCCCATGCTGTGCTGCCCAGTGGAGTAGTCTGGGAGCTGACCTTGTTCGTGAAGACAGAGGCAAAAAAAGCATTGAGTACATTATCTTTTTCCACATCCTCTGTCACTAGGTTGCCTCCCTCATTCAGTAAGGGGCCCACACTTTCCTTGGCTTTCATCTTGTTGCTAACATACCTGAAGAAACCCTTCTTGTTACTCTTAACATCTCTTGCTAGCTGCAACTCCAGGTGTGATTTGGCCTTCCTGATTTCACTCCTGCATGCCTGAGCAATATTTTTATACTCCTCCCTGGTCATTTGTCCAATCTTCCACTTCTTGTAAGCTACTTTTTTGTGTTTAAGATCAGCAAGGATTTCACTGTTAAGCCAAGCTGGTCGCCGGCCATATTTACTATTCTTTCTACACATCGGGTTTGTCGGTTTGTCCCTGTGACCTCAATAAGGATTCTTTAAAATACAGCCAGCTCTCCTGGACTCCTTTCCCCCTCATGTTATTCTCCCAGGGGATCCTGCCCATCAGTTCCCGGAGGGAGTCAAAGTCTGCTTTTCTGAAGTCCAGGGTCCGTATTCTGCTGCTCTCCTTTCTTCCTCTGCATCAAGGCCACATGTGCGCTATCACAGGCCTGTTGGGTGACCTCACGCTAGACGCTTCCCCTCTCCGTGTCTCAGTTTCCCAGTAGCAATAATTACAGCTCCTTTGTAAAGTGCTTTGAGATCTAGAGAAGCAAAGTGCTAGATGAAACCTAGGTAGTATTTTATGCTGCTTCCTTACCCTGAGCACCCTGCAACAGCTCCATCCACCCAGCCCGTTCCTGCCCGCGTTCGCCACATATGCTCAAGTGTGGGTGGAAGGCAACCTCCGCAAAACCTAATGAGAGAAAAGCACCGAGACAGTCTGCTCACTCCAAATGTTTCATTGTGTTTTCTTCCCAACCACTGCCTTGACCTGGCCACATGATGTCGCCCTGTGCTCACAAACAACTCACACCGCACAGAGTGGCTGGAACGGCTCCCGTGCTCTTACATTACATGAACACACGATGATGCTGTGAGCTCCTTGTGCACATGAACCTCT